GATCTTTCAAACGCCCTGAAACAAATGTGAGGGAACGGAAATTAAAATTTCGGTCGGGGCATGATTGCAATCATCACTGTGCACTTTCAACCAAACTCTAGAATCTAAATACTCACGGCAGAGATCTCCAAAGCCGCTGAACAACACGTAACCACTGTCGGCACATGTTCCGGATGTTCCTCAAGTTACAGCTCGGGGCAATAAAAGCAGGCTTACAGGCCCAGAAATGTGCCGCCACATGTACCTGCCATTGCCCGGGGCGAGCTTTCACTCATCAGCGAGTGAGGCGGAGATGGAAGCCATTTGGCACAAAATGCCTTCATTCTTTTCTCTTAAAAGAGCCCCCGTAAACTAATCCACAGGTGCTGCAACGGGATTTTCTTCCCACTGTTCCCACCTCCTCTTTCCCTCTTCATTTTTCCGTTTCTGTCTTGGACAGTTTCCCATTGTTTTTTTATTTTCTGAAACACACCCTCTACTGCTTTCCTCCCAATGTGACACCTCTAAAAACCTTCTCACAACCGTTCAGACCAGAACCAACGTGGACTCAGCATCACACAAGCATGAGTAAGTGAAATTATCAACCTCACTTCAAATGATTAATCTTCTTGGAACTGGATTCTTGGCTCTACATCATTTGGAGTGCAGCACAGGTGGTGGCAGCGCCGGGAGACATTTCCCAGCAAATTTCTCGTAAAGCGATCAAGAGGGAAATAGTGAGCACCCATCTGATATGAGTCATCATTCTGGAAAAGCATCAACCCTTCTCCCTTCTAGCATTTTGACCATGTCGCACAAGTCTCATGATGTTAAATGAGGGAGCATGACCTCAGAGATGGAATGAGGACAAAAATAGGTCACAACTTTGACAAACTGAGTAATGGATTTACCAGTGGTGTCACACACTTCATATGAGAAACACTCACGTGGGTGCACTTGTGGTGGAGTCTGTTTGCTCGCAAAGGCTCAACCGTGCCAACGGTTTGCACAACAGGCCTCTCCTGTAGTGTGGGAAAACTCTCACATGGTCGTGTGACTGCCCGGGGAGTGTGTGTGTGTGTGTAATGTTTTTGTTCATTGAGAAATGGCTTGACGCACTCTGCCCTGCAGTACTAATCCAGCCCCTTGTACATGTCAGTGCAACAAGTCTCAACAGCTCCAACAATGTATGATGGAGCAGAGTCAAGTTGAGCAGAGAAAGCAACGGCAATTATCAAGGGATGTTCCTCCAACAGCTCCTCCTGTGATCGGATGGGTCTGCCTGTGTGGAGGCACACAAAAAAATGGGAGCGCAGACGGGGGGGGGCTATTGGGAATGAGTGAGTGAGGGTGTGTACGTATCGGTGTTATGTGTGAATGTGTGAATGCACAACATACTGGGTGTGAAATCTGTGGGGGGAGCGTTCTAACATTTAAGATACAAACAGCAAACACAGTAAGTCGTCATGTTAGTGCATGGTGACTGCATTTCTCCGGTGGTCTCACACACACACACACACACACACACACACACACACACACACACACGCGCGGGCATGGCTGACAGACTCACGCTGATACACAGATAGCAGGAACAATTGCTGACGCGTGTGGACACGACAAACATTGGAGACACTCTGGGAGCTCACACATGGGGAGCGTTGCTAAGACAGAGCGGCTGAGCACACGTCTTCACACCACCGCAGTGACCCCCCCGCCGGCCGCCGGCGAGCAGCAGCTCACGTTGGGGGCGGGGCGAGGGCTTTCAGGTTAAGGAAGTTGTGACATGCCCCTCCAGCGTGCCCATAAATCAGAAAGCTCAACCCTCACCAGGGACCGGCTAATGGGGAATGAGGAGGCATGGAGCTTGCTGCTCATGCACACACAGGAGCCAACATCAGCTTTGCTGTGTTCTCACACACAGACAGACGGATGCAAGGTCAGTAACACGCTGCTAATAGTTTGACCCAGAAAACGGCCACACAAAAGTGAGCGGGAATACTCATTCTGTTATGTAAATGGCTGTGGCACTCTGAGCCTCGGGCCTCACATGACACACCTTCCACTCTGAGGTTGAATATGTGGTTAAGGTGTGAATGTTGTGTATTAAATGAACTGTAATTGAATCTATTTAAAAGAACATTTGAGGTTTCAAGCAGAATTTCAGAAGAAAGATATTATATAAGACAGCAACCACAAGGGATTCAAATATGGTAACCTTCAAAACTAAATTTGCAGGAATGAAAACCAAGAAATTGACCAAAAGCTCTGAAATTTCATTACAATGAATTCAAGGAAGGATATATCATCATGCTTAAAAGTCTCAACAGGAAGGACCTTTTTCTCATCAGCATTAGGATATAAAGTGGCATCACATCTGCTGTCAGAAAACACAGAGATCAAACCAAACTCTTCCAAGTTTTAGTGGGGAATTAATAAAACATTCCTCACAAGAGGACTTTTATGTTTGACAAACTAAAAACGCCACAATAATTTCCTTGAGCTCATTTACCATCCTGCTGGAAACAGGATGGGCTTTACTGGATACAATCCCCTGGCATGTGGGAAGTGATTTTTCAGATGTTATGATACAGGCGGTACAGTGGTGTGGTGGTTAGCACCGTGGCCTCACAGGGATCCCAATTCAGTTCTCTGTGTGCGTGTTGGGTTCTCTCCGGGTACTCTGGCTTCCTCCTACTATTCAAAAAACGTGCATGTTAGGACATGCCTGTAAAGTGGACCCTCCAAATTGCCCCTAAGAGTGAACGAGAGTGTGTGTGGTTGTTTGTCTCTGTGTTGCCCTGCAATGGACGGGCGACCTGTCCAGTTTGTACCCTGCCTCTCGCCAGCTGTCAGCTGGGATAGAATCCATTCCCATAGCAACCCCTTTGGGAATAAGCAGTATAGAAAATGATTGGATGGATTAAATTTGTCATTGCACCTCACATAATGTTTGGCTAGCAGTATTCCCAAAGTGTCTCTGGGTGGTGAAAATTAGACACTTCAGGAGAGGTCTTAGTCTGTGGAAATGCTAATGAATGGACTTAGTCACACTGTTGCTTAACAGATCTGCCTGCTGTCTGATCACTGCCAAATCTCTGCTAAAATCTGTGAGAAAAAGGAATTATTCAACACCAAAGGTACAGCGAAAAGGTGTGTGTCTGAGATTAAACCCCGCAACAGCTTATGAGATAATATTGTTATGAAACCTGAAACTTAAACATTCAAATAAAGTCAGTCTGATGTATTCAAACCTCACCAATTAACATTAATTTGTTATTAGCAGAAAAGCTTCTGTAAAGTTTGCAAGTTGAGGAGCCTATTTGCATGCATAAGTGTACAAAAAAATCTGTACTTCTGTCAATATTAACAAATGTACAAAGAATAAAAAGAGGCTGTGGTATAGCACTCGTCTCTTCTTTTTCTCTGTGGATGAAATTCTGAGATGCCCAGTTCTGCCTGAGCAGTGTGCTCTCAGAGGGAAACAAGGAGAAATTACTCGACAGTCAGAGCCAGTATGGTGATGCACTGTTAGAGGCATCCGTCTTTGCAGAGTGAGAGAAAGTGAAAGCCACTCACCCTCATTATTTTACAGAGAAACCCACAGGTTTGGCTTTTAACCCCACAAACACATGGTTGCCGCTTAACTCTAGAGCATCCAAGTATGAATGTGTGTATCTGAGTGAATTTAGAAGAAGGCATTTCCCCTGAATGTTTGTGTGTGTTCCATTAAAAATATTATTCTACAAAAAACAGGCAGGTTATTTTCAATTCTAACTCTTGATCATGACATTCTGTGCTCGTATACTGAGAAGGTTTTCTTTCTCACATGCGCAGGAGAGGGGATGATTAACTGTTTTTATTTCCCTGTATGCACTGGATGGTTAAATGACATGCCTTTTTCAAAGCTCCAATACCTTAAGTTGAATGACAGGTGATACAGTCATGCTATGACATAAATTAGCAAACCTATCTCATTATCCAATTCATCAACAAAAAACAAAAAAACAAAAACTAGCAATTCATACATGGCAAGAAATCTGAAAGTACAGAGATTCAGATTCATCAAAACAAACAAAAGACATGGGGGAATAAACAGAAAGCTGCTCATCAGTCTAGTTAAACATGGAAATAATTTATCAAGCAACAGCAAACCCATAGTTAATTCAAGCTCAAGTGACACCACAACAGCTTTGATGAAACTTATTTTCTGCTTTCCAGTTTTCTTATTCAAAGAGATGCAATAAATCCTGAGGTTTTCCTACTCAACCGAGGCAGTGACTGAGCCAGAGGTCAAAGCAGTGAGACAGATGAAAACAGGAGATTGTCTGGAGGCCCATGAAAATAGAAATAGTTGAGGAGACCGAAGAATTCATAAGATGTGTGAAATGGGGGCATTGGTATGGTAAACAGTGCCTGTCGGTAAAGAGCAAACCTTCCATATGTTCCACATGTTGCAATTCCCTTACCTCAGAAATATCCATTTGATATCTGACATTCACATGAAAATGTATAAATAATAAAAAGGAACCTCTGCCACCTGTTTTTGTCTCTCTTTCTGAATTTGAATGTTGGTTTTGTCAAAAGCTGTGTGGGGAATGTGGTCCGGCTTCATTCTTATGTTAGCACAAACCTATTGTTGTCTCAAAAAATAAAAGAGACAGATATTCTTCCTGGAAATCCTGGTCTGAAACACATATATGATATTTGGGGCAAAGGCCCTACCTTTTAAAATGTCCTGACATCCTTTGTGGCATTCAGCTCATTTCTGCACTGCTGCACCTGTCGTGTTAAACGGCGATCGGGCCATCTGAGCTTCTGCATTAATTCATATGGCCATGGCACGGTGAATTTCAATTAGCACTGCCTAGCTAGAAGAGTTTAAAAGTCATGGTAAAGACACAAACTGATAACATGTTACTTAGCTTGCAGAGGTAAAAGGGGGTAGTTGGGTGGCACACACGCGTGTAAAAAAAGACACAATGTCATCGCAGAGGGGAATAAGTGTGTCCGATAAATACCTGCCATCATCTTCTGGGCCTCGTAGGGCTCCATGTAGCCATCGTTCTCTGTGGTGACTTTTTCCGTGGCAGTCTGAGTGCCTCCAGCTTGCTCGGCATCGAAAGGGTCGGCGTAGTCTTCAAGGATAATCAGCTGCAGGGGAAAAACAAGAGGAAAGGCCAGATTAAGGAGAGGGGAAACCAGAAACAGCATGTGGGGAATTTGTTTTGCTGCTCTGCTGGAACACCACAACATGGGTGAAGCGTCCGGAGAGATGCAGGGCCGGATAATGGCCCGGGATAGGAGAGGGCGATATCCACCCAGGCAGGGCGGCAGATAAAGGGAGGGACACATAAATAACAACCCACCTCTGTGCGCCCCACACACCACCACAATGCCTCAGCTTTTTAGCCTCACGGCACGCTCTGTGCTGCTCCTGGCCTGCCTAATTATATGATAGCCCAGTGACAGGCCTTACATTTCAAGAGTAGAGGACAGAAGACCACAGCTGCTCAACTTTCTTAAGAGAAACAATTTGGCAGATTTATGCCAAGCTTGCAAGAAGCCACGGCTAATTGCAGTCTTGCTCTATTGCCGAGTATTTTGTGCAGTAGATGGCAATTAGGTGGAGATCCTAAGACCAAGAAATACTGCTAAACCTTTGGGGAGCAGCAAGTCCTCAGTTATGGTGCCTTTTTTGGGGGGGGGAGGGGGGGCGGTTGCAAGTATGACACAATGTAAATGACTGGCACTACACCCGATGACTCATGCGTAACAGGAAGGGATTTGGTTTCATTATAAACAAGCTCATCACTCATCTGTTGGACAGGGTTGGGCCGGGCAGACGGGGAGTGAGGTGGATTGAGCCTCACGGCCGACATGCTGTGCCTCTACAATCCAGATTTCCTAAGAACAACCCCCGTCCATTATGCCACAGAAATAGCACCATATTCTGAGGTAAATTCCATATGTAGGCCACCCATGAGTGACCCATTCACAGACGCACACAAGCCGGCAAACACACCTGACAAGCCCCAGGAAAGCAAGAGAAAACACACAGATGCACCTCCCGACTGCTGCTTTACAGTGTAGTAATACATTTTTAAGAAACCACTTTTTTTAAACGTTTCCAAGAGTTAAAAGTTCACCGGGGATAATTTGTAAGCCGCCTAGTGACAAAGTAGACCTGGCAGGTATATTCCTGCACAGATCATCCCCACTATACATGGATTAAGCAATAATAACGGAGGAAGCTGTTACCATGAATGCGTTCAGAGCAGCAACTGTGTGTTAAATCTGCCTTCTCTACTATTCCCTCTCCATCTGTTTGGGAGAAAATAACTTTTTTTTCCCTTTTTCCTGCAACGGCATAATTATGGGTTCTTTGAATGTTTTGCTTCTGTGAATTCAAGCAGGGGGGAAAAGCCAATACAAACAGTTCTCTGGTGTTTCTGTGCTCCATGAAATATAGATATTTCACTCGCGATTTTGATGAAAACTCAGTAGCTCTAATAAGAAACATTGTTGCAGCCCAAGAGACTGACATTTTTTACATCCCCGCCACAATGTCAGGAACATCCTGCACCTTGTTTCGTGGAAACACAGCCATCAGTAATCACAACCAAAATACAGCTCAAATACAGTCACAAGGACAAAGGCCAAGCCCAAGAGTAAGTAACCCTTACTCAAAACAAACTAAAAACAAACAAACATACAAATCCTTAAAATGGGCAAAATGAAGGCCAGTAGCCATCAGACTGTGGTCCACGTTCTGCTGCACAGTGACTCCAGGTTTAGCACCAGAATCAGCAAATGGAATAACACTTTCAAGCACCGATCTGTTCAGTAAATATTCTGCCTTAAAAAGACACATATGGACAAACTCCACCTTTCACTGCTAGCACGTTAAGCTCTAGTGTTCATCTTTAGGAAAACTTGGAAGATTTCCCCCTCCGTCAGATCACAGAGGTAGATCATTCCGCATATTTGCCCAGAGTGACGGTGACCTTACTGCACCTCCATCACAGAGCAGAGGATGTTTGGGCATGCTTCAAGGAAATAATGGCAGTAACTTACTGAGTCGTTTGTGGAGGCAGTCCAAATGCATGACATCATCCTTTTTGCCTTTCCTGTTGACATAATGAAGGCCAAATCAAGGCCGGGCATGTGATGAAACCTTCTAACAGTGTGGGACAAAGGGATGGAATTTCATTTCCAGGACCAACAATGGGCTGAACCAAAGTTGAAGTTGGTAACACATTGCTCCCTCTGGAGAAGCAAATGAAAACAAAAGTCTAAAATATTAAGATACCTGCTGGTCCGACAGAGGGAACGTAGACACAGAGCCAGAGCTGAGCAGGAAAAGCTGTTCAGCACCTTACGTATTTTTTGCCAGCTCCATTTTTATTTTCCAATCAAAGGAAAATGTAAAGGGACATGGTATAGGAATTTCTCCCATCTAACAGTGAAATTGTATTTTGCATTCTAACAAATCGTACTCTCTAGGGCCTCCCGTTTTCAAATGGGTATTGCAACCACAGTAGCCGTCATGCATCAAGAAGTAATGACAGCATGACTTCCACATCATCCAGTTTTCTCTTGGGTGATGAGGTTTGTAATAAATAAAAAAAAAGAAAATTTAATTAATTAAATTAAGAACAAAATTCATTCATTCAAAAGAAACTTCAGTCACATGACTGGCACTGAACAAAAACACGTTGTGGATTAGCTAGACAGCTAGACTAGTGCTTTATGTCCCTCTCTGCGATTATAGTTTTTCAAAATGGCGGAACGACATGGAAACCCCCGTGGACTTACCCGTCCTATGTTTATACAGATAGGAAATTCTTCGCCTATGAGGAGAAGTCAGATCATTGCAGAGGTAATTTTACACCAAATGAGGACACATTTATAAATTAAGAAAATTATTTTAGCTAATAGAATACTTTAAATACTACACAATGTCCCTTTAAGTATTTGACAAAGCCATTTCCTGTCAAACAAGAATGACATTCTGAGGCAATGTAGAATAAGGCTGTGTTTTGCCAATTCATTTTCCTGTTGAATTATGAAGCAGACTTCTTTAAAGTGCCAAGGAAAGAGATCACAAATCATTTAGTTTTTCCCTTCAAAGGAGTCATCACAGCCATCCGATGTCATTTTTTTAATACCTTTTGTCAACTACAAGTGTGCAAAAGGTCTTTTTTCCTGTGATTTGATGATCAGCATCTAGGATGATAATCTTTGTGTGGTTCAGACATCCAGCCCCTGCACATCAGCTCACGTTAGGGAGGAGTCTGCGTAAAATTTTTTCCCATTTCTTCCAATGGGCCCTTCATCTTCAGCTGCTCTAATGACTGCTCGACAGCAGAAGAAGTATGGGGTGGAGCGGGGTGCTAGAGATCGGAGGCATCGCCTGGGGACACACCATCTGCCTTGTGGCATGCCTGGGTGTGTCATTACCGCTGCCAAGCCGCACTTGTCATGATAGTAAAAATCCCCCCGTCAGCACTTTGCTGCGTCCATTTATCAGGCATTCGCTGAGCTGCGAAGGGAGCCTATATGAATCTCACAAAGCCACCTGATGGGCCAGGGTCCTTCCTTTGATTCGTCAGATCAGACCCTGGCTGGTCGGGATCTGTCTTATACCTGACGCAGCTCTTGGAGCTCACAAAAGGAGACGGGGACATACTCCTTGAAACACACCAAGGCTGTCAGGATATGAGGCTGACCTCAAATCAGGGGGGACATTAGCAAAGGAGGGGTTCTATAGCGGGCACCTGCCACTTTGGCACAATGCTGAGAGAGACTAGAGC